TTTCTGTTCTCTCAATGTAATCCTGCAGGGTTTGACCAGGATCTAACTTTACAATACTGGCACGAGGCAATACAATCTAAAAACGTGTACGTTAAGTATCATTCTTGATACCAAAAAATTGAATTTTGGCATCTTCATCGGAAAATGCAACTTGATCAACAGCAAAAACCACCTTCCTAACACCATCTGTGTCAACAGTCTGAGCATTAGGAGCTATATCAGATGGTCTTAACATAGCTGTCAAGGCAAGCAGAGTAATGGCTTTAAGTCTCAGGGCTTTAATATCTAATGTATTGTTGTCCTCCCATTTCAAAAACATAGGCATAACCTTTGACCTTTGCATGGGCCTGGAAGTACCTGACTTAACAAGAGCACAAATCAGCATCTTTATCTCAAAACTATCAGCAATGTTTGGTAAACTTTGAACTTTATATATATGACCAATAGCAGCTGTAGCAGTATGTAATACTGAGTTAGACCTTTGTGACTGACATCCTATCAAAAATAAAAAATCTGCAAGCTCTTTGTTGGCTAAAGGAGGAAAAGGACTTGGTCTAGTCAGGCAGAAATCATACAGTTTCTCTAATATGTGGTTATATGAACGAAGCGTACTTGGCGCAATACAAAACTGAAATCTATCAGAAACCTCTAATAACCAGCCCTTAAGTTCAAGTTTGTGCCTCAATAATATCCTCAAAGCATACAGGGCCCATTTTCTGTTGCGGTTGGGTTCCGCTACTCCCATTGACCGACAAACTCTCGGATTGTTTGGTAACCTCGTTGGTTGGGAAATGGACATTTTGACTAGACAATGGAACCTCTGACCTAACCATTTTGGGGCTATCACAGTTGCATATGCTTTTTGTGTTTGAATAACATCTAACAATTTGTGAAGTAAGCAAAATGGGCCGTTTACAAAGTTGTTTTCTAAGTGCCAGTTGACCTGAGAAAGAGCGTCCATTGCTTCGGACAATGGTTCCCAGTACCGACTGTTGAACCTTTCTAACTGACTGTTCTGACAATTAGCAAAGCGGTCGATGGTATGAGGACCCTAAAGTTTGTCTAGATATCTGAACAAATGCCGGTTTAACATCCAATTGTGTTTGTCGGGTGGCCTTGACCAATAATCCGACTCCCGATTGTTTACCCCTGATATATGTGCACGCTTGACTGTGAGTCCAAGATCTATTGCTTCTGCCCATATTGCTATTGCTAACTTGGTAAGGGATGGACTTGGACCCCCATATGGTTTATATAAGCCACAGCTGATATATTGTCTGTTAATATCTGAATACTCTTTCCCCGAATAAGGCTGGAAAAAGCCTTTAAAGCCATTAGTATAGCCATCATTTCTCTCTCGTTCGACGACAGGTACGACATTATTTTGTTCCAGTCGCCCGAAGCAACGTGACCTTTGTAAATAGCTCCCCAACCCAGATGGCTGGCATCCGTAACAATCTGACCTTGAACTACCTCTGTACATATTACTTTTTCATTCCAGTAATCAACAGATTCTAACCACCAACTAAGTTCTTGTACCACTTCAGGTGCAAGTGTAACCTGATTGGACCAACAACCCTTACACTTAGAAAGTAAACGATATGCGTTCCTGAGAAAAAACTTGCCAGGAGATACAACCCAAGATACAGATATGCACTGACCACAAATTTGTGCTAAAAACCTAAATGCAATACGCTTGAGGTGTAACGCTTTACGTATGCTACGCTTTAGTTTAGAGGTACGAACAGAAAGCGCCTTGACTCTTATATTTTCTACAGTGCTGTAAATAGAATACCCAATATATTTAAAAGATCTAGATGGATTAAGATGTGATTTATCAAAATTGATAGTAAAACCCAACTCAGTCAATGTTTGTAATAACTGGTCAACGTGATCAGTAGCAGTTGACCAACTAAAAGCCAACAGAAAATCATCAACAAACACAGTAACATGTAACCCAATAGATCTAAGATAATCAATAACAGGGCGGATAACTTTGTTAAAATAATATGGACAAGCACACAAACCAAAAGGTAGAACTTTCCACCTGTAATATGTTTTATCAAATCTAAAACCTTAAAAATCTCTACAGTTTACAGCAACAGGAATGTGGGAAAAAAACATCTTTTATATCAGTTGTGACAAAATAATCTCCAGGTTTAATCAAATTAACAGTGTCTCTAATGTCTTCATTTCGGTATTTGGGCACAGTACAATAAGAGTTTAGTTTTCGCAAATCTGTGATGAGACGAATATTTTTATTCTTTTTTGGTACACAATGAATGGGATTAACACATGTTGGTTTTATATCACATTTTTCAATACAGTCAGCGTCAATAAGCCGCGATATTTCGTGTCTGAGAAAAATGTACTCCTTCCGAGTGTAAGATTTATTATTAAGTTCAAAACTAACACGTACTGGTGACGAAAAAGGCATTTCTATTCCATTGTTTATCCAGTTCAAAATATAGGACGGTGCGTCGATATTTTTCCACGCGTCTAAATGATTCCGAAGCGTACTAATACACATTTAATGTTAAAGGGAAAAAACTCGTCACGATCCTGTCTATATGAAAACGAACCTCGTCCTCGGCCACGACCATACGAATACGACTGTCCACGGCGTCCTCGCTCGTCGCCAGATCCAGATGAACGTCCAGCTGCAGCTAATGTTGCTGCTGATCGCAAAGTTTCCAATGAAGTTTGGTCGAAACCCGAAGTATTTCTCTGAAGACTGCGGAATATTTTGGCAGTTGACGTGTCAAATTGACCATTTACAAGTAAGGCAGCAAAATCCTCTTGAAGATATTTAACATGTGCGTGATGAATAAGAAATAAGTTATCCAAAGTTTCTTGATCTAAAGAGCTGCCAGCTTCCAAAGTTCCCAACAGTTTTATGTCAGTTTCACAATACCGACCACATTTTACAATGACATTCAATAGAGGTTGATCACTTCTCTTAATACCTTGTCTACTGTCATTTAATCTCAGTTCTGCCGGAATTTTTACCTTTCTCAAACTGTCCTTCAACGATTGGAACTCCGCCTGTAAGTCCGGCTGATTACTAGTAGCGCCAGTCGCTGAAGACAAAAATGGCGGATTACTAGCGCCCACTAGGCCTTAAGCTGGAGGAATGGAATCCTGAGAACGTCGCTCTTGCGCGAATCTCGACTCAGATAAACCTTTCTCAATGTTTCCAAGTCGATTATCAAATGAACTCATAAATCCATCTACTTCATTCTCAAGAGAATCAGACATAATACGAACTTTTTGCGAGAACACAAAAATGCACGTCCTGACTGTGGAATGAACAAGTCGAGAACAAATTAATACGTCACACTTATGTGTGACGTCATATGAATAGTTGTTGATCACGTGACTACTATAAACTATCTCATTGTCACGACTTAGTAACTCATAGCCACGACATAGTATCTCGTTCCCACGACTCAACTATCTCGTGCTCACGACTTAGTAACTCGTGGCCAGGACATAGTATCTCGTTCCCACGACTTAACTATCTCGTGCGCCCACGACTTAAGTATCTCGTGTCTATGACTTAGTAACTCGTGGCCACGACATACTATCTCGTGCCCACGACTTAATTATCTCGTTGCTGCGACATAGTATCTCGTTCCCACGACTTAACTATATCGTGGCCACGATATAAATAAAACCACACACATGTCACCTTTGTGCCACTGTAGCTATGGAATATGTGGCGATAGTTTTGTTAAAGGGGTTAGGTCTAGTTTCGGTTCAGACCACGCTTGATACGCCTGTGCAATTTTCAAGTTTCGTTTTCAATTCTTTGAAAATCTTTTTTTTTTCAAAATATACTTTCAAGTAGATTAATGATTTTTTGAAAATATTGAAAATAAGAAAATCATTTTTTAAGGAAATCGGGACGGAAAATTATTTAAAGTGAAGCGCTACTCATGTAGAAATAAAAAATTAATGGAGTTTTGAAGAATGGCTATCAAAAGTAATTAAAATATTCACCGTAGGGAACGCGTTACAGTATCGCGCTTTTAAGTTACAGTATAGAATTTTCAAGATAGAGGATTATTTGTGGGGAAGACAGGTAGGTATTTTTTTATTCCGGTACAACCACAAGTAGTTCAGTTTCTAAAAGATGTTTTGTGCTTCGCTCGTTAGAAAACAGGATCCGGTATCTAGTTACATGTTTACTAAGACCCTGCACCGCAGATATATCTCTATTTTGGCTCATAAATATGCAGATTTGACAGTTTGAAAATTTGAATCGAGAGACCAAAGCGTTTTTCTCCAATTCCGACAATATTTAAGTCAGACATTGTATCCACTTGATCTAAGTTCAAATGTAGCTTGGTTTTCAATATTTATGCTGTTTTATTTTCGGAATAGTAAATGTCAAAGAATTGTTCTCAAATTCGAAACCTTCATTGAAGAATTGAAGCATTCTTGGTCGAGGAGATCGAAACCACCGCTTTCATTTTGCGCCTCCATATTGTCTGATTTACCTAGCAAGAATGCGGGAATTAGCTATGCAAAACACGTGACCCGAAAATGTGTATCGCTACCGTCTTCCAAATTACATTTTATGAGGTGTGCAATTATAAATGGTAATTACATCTTTTTTCTGATTCAATTGGACTCTAGTCAAACTAATTGTACTAAGCGATAAGATATTGTGCTATTTTGTGTATAGAAAATATCTCCCCTCTACGAAGCAAAATTTTGACCCAGAACAAAACCATTTTAGAATCTTGCTTTGGCACGTCAATATATTTTGACTAATTGGACTCGTACCATGTTGAACGCTCGGCTAGCGAGCGTTACATATAGGTTTGACAGATGTTTATAGTCAGCATAATATAGATAGCAGGCGACATTAACTAGTGTACTATATATTACCTGTGAAATGTTCTTATTTTTTAAGCTGGATGAGGTTTCGGCCTTTTTCGACAGTCTTCGGATAATAGCCGAGGACGTTCCGATTGTTGAATGAACAAAAAATGAAAGTACATTGTAGATGTCAACTATAATTTTTCGAAAACAGAGCTTGTATGTTTATATTTAGTAGTGACCTAAATTTCAAACAATCGATAATATTAAACGTGAAAGTCTTTAAAAAGAGGATAACCTGGTTATTTTAAATGTAAGTTGTTTTTTTTAGAATTAGAATCAAATCATTAATGTTGTATTTGAGAAATTGGTAATCAAGATTGAATTATATAATCAAGATATCCATATTAACCTTGTATTTCATGCACTAAAGACAATGCTGTACTAACTTACATTCTACAAATAGATAGAAGTTTTTTTTGTAGATTTTGTAGATTTTACTTTATCTTTACTTCAAATAATAGCAATTTTTTAAATAATAGCGATAAGCTATGAATATTTTGGTCGATAAGTTCACATAACTTAGATTATGTCTTTCAATGGTTTACATGTATACTGGGTTATATCGACCCATTCTATATAGCATGATCTGGGTGGATATAACCGTTATAAAGTTGTAAATCACAGATATGGTTTATATGGTGAAGACCCCGAGCTTGCTATAAGTTCATATTTCAAAATCTTTATTATTGATTGTTAATATCGGCTTCTTTATGTTTTCTGATAAACACCAGTTTATATGTTAACTTTTTATTAAATAAAGAATGGAATAAAATGGAGCAATAAATACAGACCTGCGACTCGCAAGTTTCACAAATTATAGAATACTGCTTTTAATAGCATAATTATGTAAAAAGAATTGGTTGTGTAAATCTAATGCTTTAATCATTACTAGAAGTATAATCCTTTTCCCAGGACCTCGTATGAATACACAAAACGGATGCCGTAATTCGGTCTGACCCCCAAAAACATGTAAACAAATAACATGCTGGGAGTTGTTGACAAAGTTAATTCGATTATATTATGTAAAAGTCCACCTAAATTAAATCAATATATATTCTATAGATATATGAAAAAGTAAACAGTTCATTTTTGTACTTATGACTATGCTGGTAGAAACCGAAAGTACAAATTTTTACCTGTTGCGGATATTTCGGGTTTTGCATTCGCCAATGGACAATTTAAATTATTATGACTGTCCGACATATTTTCCAATAATAATTTAACCAAAAATGACATTATTTCCATTTGAATGTCAAATACTAGTATATTATTTCAACAAAATCCACGTGGTAGAATTTATATATGGCTGAAAGAATTTCGGGGCATATTGTGTTCTACCCCCAGGCGTCCGTCCGCCCGTCTGTCCGTTCATCCGTCACACTTTCGTGTCCGGTCCATAACTTTGTCATTTTTCAAAGGAATTTGAAATAACTTGGCACAAATGTTTGTTAAAATAAGACGATGTGTAATGCGCAACAACCAGACCACTACCTCCAGGGTCAAGGTCGAACTTGCTCATTCAAGGTCAACATTGTCTATTTGAGGGTATATGTCGTGTCCGATCCATTACTTTCTTATCTTTGAAGGGATTTTGTAAATACTAGCAACAATTGTTCACAATATTGAGACGATGTATCATGCGCATCAACCGGTCACCTACCTCCAAGGTCAAGGTCTCACCTGGAGGTCAAAGATTAACATCAGGTCCATTAATTTTTCATAGATCAAAGGATTTTGAAAATACTTGGCACAAATAGTCACTATAATGAGACGATTATGGCTTTTTTTACACTCCTGTGCCGCGGTTTATGTGATAAAGCCATTTAATAATCAAAGCACAGAAGGCGCTGAATTTGTTTGGGTCTCAGAATGTCAGAAAGGTGAAGGTTGTGAGATTATAAAACAATTTGTTTTTGTATAGTGCCACCAATGTTTTCCAGCGTTTTAATTGTAGTAGATTAGCTATAAGACTAATTGCAACACTGATATTCAATCCAATGTTTATTTGACTTAAACAATTTGAAAAAAAAAATGTGGCCTTAACTGGGATGGGAACTCCAGACCTCTCGCTTCCTAAGCGAGCGCGCAAACCCCTCGGCCACGGTGAATTTAAATGTTAACGGCCTGAAGTTCTAAATTAGGGTTTGTAACGACGCTAACTGTTGTTTAACACTTGTGTAAATAATCATGGCGTTTACTATAAGCATGTATATCTATAAAGAATAAAACAATATTAGAAATCTTCGACCATTCGGGAATTATTTTGCTTGAAAATTAATGCGCCTTTCATGTTACCATATTTACGCAGTGATCTCCCCTGAATTTTTCGGACTTTAATGGTAGCGAAATTTCAGACTATAATGCTGTTAATTGCAAATGCCGAAAGTTGTCCGCTTTTTTGAAGCGGTTACTTCCCTTTAACACTAACTTAGTGCTACATATAAAGGGAATTAACCGCTTCAAAAAAGCGGACTACTTTCGGCATTTGCAATTAACAGCATTATAGTCTGAAATTTCGCTACCATTATTTTGTTTGGTCTGACGACCCAAAAAAATAATCAAAGGGCTGCAAGCTCTGTGGTATTTTCTCATCTTTGCAATCTAAATCATACTGACTATCTGCATAATTTTTCCTGTATAAGTTTATTATTTTTATATACTATAATTCATCTTACGCAGCGACTGCGTTTAGATTTTTTTTTTATAACAGTTTGAGATTTTTGATACATATGGAATTTTTGCATAACTAGAGTTGCATCAAAAAATCATTTTTTCATTTTTTATGACTGCCACACTTTATCCTTGCATATCGTGGCTACTTCCTTAAAAAAAGACCACTTCCAATAAAAAAAAAGTTGCCTCGGGATAGCGATTTTTTTAGATCTCTCACACCCTTAACGAGCGCGCTACCTTTGCAACCACGGTGAAGTAATACATATGTAGCTTGAATAAAAACAAATACATTGTAATTCTTAATTGAGAATTTTTTCGTGTTTGTAATCCTTATTAATTTCGAGGTATTTTTTCACGATAAACCTGTTGTTTAACACTGATGAAAATAATTTGCTAAAATCTTCTCGCCGAAACAGTCCGGCATGTATATATTCCCCACTACTCGACAGTCAATTTTATTTGGTGTACTACGCTCTGGGAGTATTCGGTAATCGACATAGCTAAAAAATTTAACGTTTTCATTGATAAAGGCTTTACGGAAATAGCCGTGAACATTTTTCATTTGGTAAAAAAATTTTCATCCGCGAATTTGTGAATTGTAACCCCTTCCATATTTTTTGGAAACTTTTTAATTTGCAGTGATAATTCGTTTTAAAAGGCCTACATTTAAAAATTTTCTTTTCTTTAAACTGCTGGGGTTTTTAACAGTTTTGAGTGAGAAACGACTTTGGGCGTTGTTAGAGTCTGTTAAGAGGAAATTTTTTGGTTTAGACCGTGGATGTTAGCTTTGTATTTACTTGTCTTGCGATCAGAAAATACAATCAAAGCACTGAATGTACTGATGGGAGGGCTATGACAGAATGTTTTTCAGGACTTATAGTTTCTTATTTTTTTTTTGCTTAAAATGTTGCTGTTAAATAAGAAGAAATCTGCAACATTGCGCCATTTATCGTTCCCAGCCATTCAATATATATGGTTAATTTATGGTTTTGACTATTTCATTCTTGTTAAAATATTTTCCAGAACATTTCATTGAGGTCTTACATTCGGATTGTTTTCAATGCCAAATTTAAAAAAACCAAAAAAAAACATTTATAAATGACATACCAAAGAGGTATGAGGACCAATAAATTTCATTATAAGATCATAATACTTATTTTACAGACTGACGTTTCCTTATCAAAATATTTCTTAGGATGTTCATCATAAAATTACTTTATGTTCATTTTTTATCAATTGAATGATAATAAACAAACTGCAAAGTTAAGCAACATTTTAATTGAACATAAAAATTTACATTATTTACATGTACCATAAATTGAGATCAATTAAGAACACTGTCTTGTGACCATGAGTTGTTAAATATTTCATAGCTCTACCGGACAGGAAAGTTGTTTCTCCCAAGCCAATCTTCGAAATTAAAAATCACGTTTCAGAAAATTATTTCCTATTTCATTACTCGTCGCTGACTTTTCGGCATTTTTTAAGCTAAATATTCTTGAAAAAATACATATCTTGCAAAGCTTATTCAAAATTGAATCAACCTAAGTGAAAATTGATCAGGAAGTTATAATCTTTCATTTTTTACCGCCAACACTCAAACCAACTTATGGTAGTTAATAGATAGATTTTTAAACCTCACTTGCTTGAAATATATACTGCGGAAAATCTGTTGTTAACAGGCGTGTGCGGTTATTACGTAGGTTTTCATTGTCGACCATTTCCCGCAAATAGATGAGAACATCGAAGCGTCAGTGCTATGAATGGTGTTATAAAATAGCGTGTTTGGGAGGTTTTTTTTTTAAACTTCTCCAAATCCTTCCAGAGGTTATGCACGTCGCGGAGAAGGCACACGGCAGGTCAAGGTCAAGTCATCTCAAGTACCAGAGGTGATTGGTTGACCTGTCGTAACTTACTCTGGAGGTTTGGCGCTAATGAATGCTGTTTTTGTTGTCGTCAGTCAGGAAGTTGATGCCTTGACAGTACTGTCGTCTCCTTTACCACTAACGAACGAAGAATGGGCTACCAGGAAGATTCTGCTTGAAAAAGACGTCCCCGATGCTATAATTTCGGACATTATGTTATTCCGGTGCCGAGAATAAATGAACTTAAAACTACACACTCTTTGTTGAAAACAAAAAAAAAAAAAAACAACAACATATTTTCTGTAGTAATTTTTCAAGTGTTGTAAAATGAAAACAAAATTCGTCTTATGCCGCCAATTATTTTTAGAACACAAACATATAAGTTCTTTTTATTTGATTTATTCAAATAACATTAGTCACTTCAGCGCGCGCAAATATCGTTTTCAAATTATAATTTCGTAAGATATGTTGATGAATTTCCGATGCTCGACTGTAAGTCATTTGTATATATATATTGCGGTTTTTTTGTTTTGTTTTTTTAAAGCTTCTTATTCTTTAATATTCTTATGTTATCTCAAAATCTGTATTGAAAATTTTATTACACATGGACTATCAAATTATGATTCGTTGCCCTAGAATTGAATAAACTTTTTGTAATTACACAATACGAGGTCATTAATTTTTGATTGAAGACTGATCTTTGGCGCTTTCT